AGGAAGGGAATAATTACGAATGCAATGGCGCCGGGCGGTGGTGGCGCACGCCTTTAATCCCAGCACTCGGGAGGCAGAGCCAGGCGGATCTCTGTGAGTTCGAGGCCAGCCTGGGCTACCAAGTGAGTTCCAGGAAAGGCGCAAAGCTACACAGAGAAACCCTGTCTCGAAACACCAAAAAAAAAAAAAAAGAATGCAATGGCTTTCTGTATTTTGGAATCTCTCAATTAAGTAGGAATGCATATCAAGAGTCTTACCACCACCACCACCACCACCACCACCACCACCACCACCACCACCACCACCCCCACCCCCCCACCACCCCCCCAACCCCCCGCCCAGCTCTGGGCCTGGCTTACCTGACTGGTTTGAGGATTTTGGTTTGTTAACGCCAGAGACCTACCTGGCTCTGAGACATCCAGCAGGCTTTGCAATGTGTACCAGCAGCCATCTCGAAAACCCCCTCTCTCCAAACTCACTGTCTTCAATCTGAGAAGATCCAAGTCAAAAGCTGCTCCCAGTCATTTGAGGCAGGATTTCCTAAGGGGGTGGGGACCCAATGTGAGATCACAACATCCTATGAAATAAGAAAAAACACCTCACTCTCTGCAACAGGTCACAACCACGTCTACATTTTGAAAACCTGCCTCCAGAGTGGGACTATCTCAAGTGAGGTTTGCCCACAGACTCTGTGCAGTCCTCACAGCTACCATCACAGCCGATAGGTGTTAGAGAGGGCACAGACCATAGGCACTTTCTGAAAGACTGTCTACAGCTTGCACCCAGAGCTCTGTGAAATTAGAAAACTGGACTTAAAATGATCAGGAGTTTCCCATCTCAGGGTGCCTTCAATTTAGAGGTCGAACGGCTCTTATTTCCAACTTAGAAGTCCAGTAATGTATCACTCTGTACAAACTAATTAACAGAACAAAACATCCTTAATTTTCTGATTTAACACAGTGCAAGTTTCTTTCCTACTCTTATCAGAGTCCCGTGTGGTTAGTTGGGGGGGGGGGGGCGGGGGCGGGGTTTTTGCTCCACACTGTCAGTGAAGACCTAAGCTCCACATATGTAGTGGATCCCACTATCTCCAAAGGCTCTAGTATTTTATACTTGCTCATTTTATACTTTATACTCCTTTTCTACCGCTGAAAGCTAAGAAAAAAAAATGAAGGTTTATGGGATGAGAATGGAAGCTCCACATGCCTCTCTCATTCAATTTCTATCGTCACGTGTTCCTACCTATAAATAGACTACATTTTCAGAAAAGGAGAACCAAGAAATGGAGTCTCTCCTCTGTGATCGTGGGGAAATGGAATTAACGGGGCCACAATTGTGAACGCATCACCGTGGAAGTAATATCTGAGCTCGCAGAGGATAGATGTCCATGCAACCTCCCCGATCTCTCAAGTTGGAAGTAACCTCCAGGTCTTTTCAGTTTCTATCTCACTGTTCAGCAAAACACAGAGCTAAGTGCACAGTAATTGCCTGGAAAACACTTGGTGGTTGATCTTAAATGGGATCTACAGAAAACCTTAGCGGACAGGGAGGCTCAGGGTGAAAGCCGGATCCAGCATCCAGAGCTGGGATGCTACTGCCTGAGTGGATGTGGAGGGATGTACAAAGGATGCTGACAAAGCCATTATAATGGTTGGAGAAAAAGGGGGCACAGCAAGGTGCCCGGGTCATTGCAACTATTGTGAATTGAAAGCATGGGCTGCATGATACAAATGTCTAGAGAACTTTTTCTGAAAATCATATGCATTTGACACATCATTAGGATTCACTAAGCAAGACTCACTGCAACTAAATAATCTGAAAGGCATATAAATGCTTGTTGCAATGAGCCCACTGTTATTTCCTTTATGTACAGTTAAAAGATTTCTAATCCTGCCATAAAAAAAAGAAATATTATATCCTTCATGATAAATCTGTGTGTTTGTTAGCATTTTCAATGATACACCTGGGCTAGAGACACATAACTACAATGGCCTTCAGAGCTCATGTTATCCATTCCCATTTTCCTGGAAAGGCTCTAGTTAATGACAGGAACGGCATGTCTTATTTCTAGGGCCCCAGTAGAGGATAAAAGGCAACATATTAGAGATAGGAGAACCCATGGCTGTTCAACTCTACTGAGACTCTCTACGCAGAGGCTACTGCTCTGTTACATTACAACAAGTGGTAATAAGGAGCAGCCATGGCCCCACATCCTTCTAGAGTTTCCTTGGAGATTCCAGCCCTCACTGCCAGCTCACGTACTAATCATCTAGGACTGTCATCAGAAGGAGCACAGACTGGGTCACTGAAACCACAGAAGTGTATTTTCTCATCATTCTGGAGGATGCAAAGACCAAGGTGGAGGCATCAGCAGGGTTGACTTCTGTAGCAGGAATCTTAGAAGGTCTTATTAATAAAAGCAAACCTGGAGCCAGGTATTGGGGTGAAGGCTGGAAGATCAGAGAAGCAGAACAAGCCACAGCTTCCTCACCTTGCCAATTCCTCAGCTGATCCTGTTTCCTCAGACTGGAAGCTTCTGAGTCCTCATCCAAATGAATCTCAGCTGAACTGTGCTGCTCAAAAGCCTAAAGGCTTAACCAGGCTCTAGTTCCTTGTCCTCATGCCTTAAATACCTTTCTGCTTCCTGCCATCACTTTGTGGGATTAAAGGCTCTTGTTACCATGCCTGGCTGTTTCCAGTGTGGCTTTGAACTCACAGAGATCCAGACGGATTTCCGCCTCTGGAATGCTAGGATTAAAGGTGTGTGTGCCACCATTTTTTGCCCTCTATGTCTATCTAGTGGCTGTTCTGTTCTCTGACCCCAGATAAGTTTATTAGGGTGCACAATATTTTGGGGAACACAATGTCACCGCAGACTTCTAGTGAGGTTTTTCTTTCTGCTGGCTTACAGACCCATCTTGCTCCTCATGCGGCGTCTTCAGGGGGTGGTATGGTCAGAACACTCTAGTGTCTCCCCTCTTATAAGGACACAGTTCCTCGAAGACTAGGGCCCATCCTTACGGTCCCATTTAATCTTATTACCTTCTTAAAAGTGTTAAAGCATGGGTTTAAGGAGACGTAACTCAACTTCCGTTAGTCCTTGACTCCCAAGGACCTCTGAATCCTCATGCAACTGTGCAAAGAAGTGTGGGCTGCTCACCTTTGGGATTCCTGGCCACTCCTCCATTCACAGGACCGCACACGAGCAGTTCTGTAGCCAAGCAAGGGGCCTAATGTCCTACGTAATTTGTGTGCTGCATGATCGCGTAATTTGCGCACAGCGTGATCACGCAATCTGCGCATGCGTGTGGTTAGCTCTGTAAGCCCATTTGCGCATGTGCAGGGGAATCCATAAGAAGAGGGACACAGACTCCCCCTCCCCTTCTTCTTTCCCCCCACCTAGCCGGCACCCACCCTCCACCCCTCCCACCCCACCTACCCACCCCACCCCTGCAGGCCTGTTCACATTCTGTCCTGTCTCTCCCTTCTCCTAATAAAACTCTGACAATGGGTTTTGTCGTGCCTCATGACTGTTCCTCGCAGAGTAAAACCAACACACACTGCTGTGCAGGCCTGCTCCTTTATCACAGGGCTGGTCAGGAGCTGAGGCCTGTGTGCTGCCTTTCAGCTGTTCACTCCTCCATCTTGGTCCCTCTGCCTCCTCCCCATCCCAGGTGTAACCCTAACCCTCTGCCTATGAACCCACCACCTTTTGGGGTGAACCATGAGATAGCCCAATCAGGATACCCTTGGTGCCAGCTTACACCTTTGTCTTTAACCTCTTTCAAGGCTCTAACTCTAGAAAATAGGGCCACAGCAATGTAGGTCAGCCTGCTGCATGAAGAAAAAAAAAAACACATTTTATCTTTTTCTTCTCCCTTTCCCTTTCTTATTCCTCCGTGGTCTCCATTCCTCCCTTCTCAAAGTGCCCCCAACTTTCTGTCAAATACAGAATACATGTTAAACATATTTATATACATATGCTTAAATACAGATTCCTCATATGACAGAAAAACGCAATATTTGCCTTTCTGAGTCTTATTTCACTTAACGTGATCATCGCCCGTTCTACCCATTTTCCTGCAAATGACATATTTCTTTTCCTCATTACAGCTAAATAAATCTCCATCATGTATATGTACCATATTTACTTTATCCATTCTGCTATTGATGTTTATTTAGGCTGGTTTTGTATCCTGGATATTGTGATCTAATCCTTCTCTCCACCTGATCCCAGAGATCATTTATTCATTCAGCCTATGTTTGCTGATGCTGGCTGCCTCTCCTGCCTCAAGAGTAGCACGACTGCTTTTGCTGGGGGCAGCCATGCAGGAGGCAGCCTGGTTCCTGATCCCCTGGGGAATGCTGAGCCCATGTTATTACCATCACAGATGTATTTCCAGGATTTGAGATCAATCTGCCACTGTTGAGTGGGACTCAGAGAAGGAGGCGGCCAGACAGAGTGCCAGCCTTCTGTTTCCTATGCCACTATTGATTCTGTGGAGTTCTGGGAAAGCAGCAGCTGCTGTCCAAACCCCCACCCCCTCTTCTGTTGACAGGGTGGGAGACTAAATGGCATCTCCGTCTCCCTCATACCCAGCATGCCATGCCAGGCTGACTTGCTCTCGAGACTTTTGTCTATTTCTTTCACAAGTGACAGCCAGGAACAGCCAATCCGGAGGGCTTCTTGGGCTCTCCCCAGATTCCCAGAGAACCCCCTAATCACACTGGCTTCCAGAGATTTCCCTAGGTAGAACCGTGACCCACACACCTCCCTGTCAAGGTTCTGTCTCATTTTCCAGGTCCAAGAAGATGAATGCTCAGCATTTGCACCAAGGGAATGGAGTATTTCTTCAAGGAAGTTAATAAGATTGTATATTTTAGCCTCAGGGCACTAGAGAAGGGAAAGAAAAATTCCCTGAAACAACATGTCTCTTGTTTAATAAAGTTTTATTATTATTATATATGAGTGTGTGGGAAAGAGAAATCTATATCTGTTCTTCACCATCACAGCTTTATTGGTTCTGAGCTTAAAAAATCAGTTTGGTGACTAACAGAATAAAGAGCCGACTGACCGGTGATTTTTAATATTTGGCTCTTCCAGGAAGCAATCTAATAGAGTAAAAGCTTATTGGAAAGTGTAGATGATGTGAAATGAGTTACACAGAGGGGCCGGTTAAACCGGTTCACACCTTGGGAGGACTGGCAGATGTCATAGGAAGCGGCTGAGTGCTAGCTAGACCAGCTCACTGAGCACCCCAGCCTTGGGAAACGCAGTGACACCAGGGTTTTGCTTGTCATGGATTCCTCCCTCTAAATCTTTGTTTTATGTAAAATTTAAATTTACCAGCTGCAAATATCAAGTCATCACACACCGCTGGTACAGTATTTTCCTTCAGGCTGTCCCTGCTCCTTTCCAATCAAATGTGTGTGTTCTCTTTCTTTGTCCCTCTGCTTCTGCCTCTGCCTTCCCACCTCGTGTGTGTGTGTGTGTGTGTGTGTGTGTGTGTGTGTGTGTGTGTGTGTGTGTATTCATGTATGTACTGAGCCCTTGTGCCCTGTTCCATGGCTGAGAGCTCATTTGGTATCTCCCTAGAGACAGTAATCCCTGCTCCCTCTTGGAGCCAAGCAAGGGATCTAAACATTTTTTTCAAACATTCCAAGGATTCCACAAGCTCCCATGCACCCCAAGATGCCAAGAAGAGTTGTTTCAGGTCCAGGGATGTTGGTCAATGTCTTCTTAGAAACTGATTTCTGGAGTCTGCCCTTTGAGCTCAGACCCTCTCCCCTCTATTTCTTGACTTCTTTTCCATACTTTGTCTCTTAGTTAGGGTTACTATTGCTGTGATGAAACACTATGACCAAAAGCAAACTTGGGAGGAAAAGGTTTCTTTTACTCACAGTTCCATGTAACAGTCCATCATCAAAGGAAGTCAGGACAGGAACTCAAACAGGGCAGGAACCTGGAGGCCGAAGTTAATGCAGAGGCCATGGAGGGATGCTGCTTACAGGCTTACTCCTCATGGTTTGCTCAGTCTGTTTTCTTAGAGATCCCAGGACCACCCACAATGGGCTAGGCCCTCCCCCATCAATCACTAATTAAGAAAATGCCCTACAGGCTTGCCTACAGCCAGATCTTACGGAGGCATTTACTCAGTTGAGGCTCCCTCCTCTATGGTGACCCTAGCCTGTGTTAAGCTGACACCCAACTAGCCAGTATACTATGTGTACCAGCAGACTTCTGAAGTCCTGGATTGGATGAAACTACAACAATTCGACATTAGCTTTTTCAGAGCACTGTAGAATATATGACAGTTTTTAGATGTTAAAGAAAGACTTTGTGCTCCAGTGGCATAAGATAAACCAAACTCAGCAGCCAGACCTCCTGGGAGATGGGGATGATGGCAGTGGTGGACTGTGAGTGATGAGGGTGTCATGTGAGAGGTGGGATACAAGGATAGACTCTGCACAGGACCAGCTGCAGAGCTCAAGGCATGAAGCAGGAAACCGTGGCCTTGCTATCTTCTGTTCCGATTGTGCTATGCCAAGTTCTGAAGTACCTGAAGTGACCAGGATCCTGGGCCCCCTCCTTTGACACATCTTCTGTCAGCCATGAGGGGTAACATGACAGCTGACACAGGAGACAAATCCACCCAAGCCACAGAGGCAGAAGCCTGTAATGATGTAATCACACATATCAAATATAGAAATTGGATACTGGTTTGAATAAAGGTTCCTCTGTACCTCTGAGATCATGCGCAGTAAGCATGCACTCTTGGCCTCAGCTCAAGGCTGGAGATTCTGGGCTTTATTTGGTCTCTGAGTAGCAGAGTCGGCTACTTGCACTCTCTTGAGCCTTTTTCTCCAGCAGAAGGGAGTGATAAAGAAACACACACACAAAAAAACATAGACCTGAAGTCAACAGAGGGCTTTTCCAATCTAAATGGCTGTTCTTTTGACTTGAATGTCAGAGACCCAGATTCTAATTCCCAGAAAGAGAGCTAGCACTAAGGTAGAGGCATTGTGGGAGGCAAGCTAAGCCTCTCTGTAGGAAAACATTGAACTAAACTGCTGGTGAGAACATGACGATATACTGTCTCTTAGCAGAGTTGAGTAATCTCACTGAAGGGTGGGACAACCCACTGAAGGGTGGGCCAAGGCTTTGACTTGTTCCTCTAAGTGAAGGTGTCTTGTTTTCCTGTTTTCCTTTCTCTTGCCAGGAAACTGATGAAGTGAGCATCAGTGACGTGGAGGCTGGCTTGCCCATCTCTGCTTCCAGAGCCCGAGTCCTCTGTCCTAGGGCTATGCATCTTGGGGGAAAGCCACTGAAAGACTCAAACCTTCTAATTCCTTTGCATTGGGTTTTCATTACACTTTAAACATTGTCATGGGTAGAATTAATGAGCAGAGGCCTGCTGGAGATTCAGCCAGAATTCTCAGAACCCCAAAGGTCTTGACTCTGAGAGCTGTGGACCACTTGTCACTTAAATGATCCATAATTTTGTTTCTGATTAGTACTGAGTAGTAGTCCCAGCCACTCGGGGGACTCCTCAGCCTTCTGCTTGGCCATGAGCTTGTTTGACTCACTCTGCCCTGTCTGTGTCTTATGAGCACAATTCAAGTCCATTGGGTCCCTCTGAGGTGGTGGATCATGACCACCTCACAGGACATAGGCACCTCTGGAGACCATCTGGTTTTCAGGCTCATCTTCACGTGAAAGAAAACCAACAGCTCCTCTCATAGATAACCAGAAAAATCCTTTGGCCTCCCCAACTTTTCTCCTGTATTTTCGCTGCCTAGAATTTTATTACTAAAACTTGACTCCTTTGGGATTAAAAGGCATTTTAGTCTTTTAAAGCCCTTTATTAAAATGCAAAGACATCTAGGAAGGTTGAAACCTTATATTACCAACAAGAATTTGCAGTCATTGAGGGCAAGAAATACAACTTAAATGCCTTCTCTTATATATTAAATTCTTAGCTGCCCATGACTCTTAGAAGGTTAAGTCATTCCATACAATCAGGGTACTTAGCTTGCTGAAGGCTTAGCTTTTTGTAAATCTAATTTGAGCAACAAGAAACATTTTGGATGGAGGCCTCATCTAAAATGTTCACTCTGTTCTGCCTTCTTGAACGCAACCCACAAAATGCACTAAAACACTTTCTTAATGAATCACCATCACTATTATGAACTGCCGTTATTGTCCTTCTCATTGACTCTTTCGCCGTCCATTACTGCACACAGGGCTATTTGCACCTTCTCGAGCAGTCCTTGCATTTGCTTTTAGGCTTCTTGATCTTCTCCAGACTGGCACCATCTCTTCTTGTTCATGCCGGATGTGTTTTCTTTAAGCATTGTGTCTCTATTCTAACACGTCCTTATCATCCCTCTGGGTGGGAAATAACACCGTAAAGCTAGAGGGCTGAAGTGTCTGTGACAAAAACAAAAACAGATGGACTTTCAGCAAGAAGTTTTCCTAAGGATAGGGGTAATAATCTTATTATTCTCATAGGACAGTATGGGTGTGGGGCTGGGTGTGGTGGTGCACGTCTTTAAACCCAGCGCTGGGGAAACAGAGACAGGCAGATCTCTCTGAGTTCAAGGTCAGCCTGGTGTACATACCAAGTTCTAGGCTAGCCAGTGCTACATAGTGAGACTCTGTCTCAAAATAACAATGTAAGACATTTCTACCTTCCTCTGATTCTCAGCTATTATTTGGATAAGTGAGATGGTCACATGACAGGAAGGATGTTGGTTTAGATAATCAGAAGCCAGATGACCCACTCTAAGGTATAAAGGAATGGGCATCAGGTGGTGATCTTTGAGGCCAATCCCTGTCTAATCTATAAAACATTTTCTCACAACCAATTATTGCCCAAACTGCAGCTCTCAGAATGAAAGAGTATACTCTCAATAATCCCTTCCAGACCACAGGGATAGATCAGGACTATATTGGCAAATCAGGACCTGTGATGCCCCTATTTCTAGAGGAAACATGGACAACATCAGCTGAAATACAGATGTTGATACATACAGATGCAACTGTGGTGGACTCTGGTACTCACCGTAGCTATCAGAGGCTCTTGTTGGACTCTAGTTATGTTTAAAATGACAAGTTATGAACTGTGGACAATTCATATACACAATACTACAATATTACTATTCCCTTCAAAACTGATACACCTCCCTTTTGCCTCTAAATACCACTAGTTTGGTGAGTTTGTTAAAAGAAATGTGTTCATAGATTGATTTTTCCTTGAATATCACTATCATGGCATGTGACCTCTTCAACTGAAGTGTTATAATCACTAAATCAGACAATGAGCATGAAATATTTAATCTAATATATATAATATAGTATATTCAATGTTAGCTAAAGAAAATGTTTGCACACCTCTCAACACACACACACACACACACACATACACACATACACACACACACACACACACACACACACACACACACACACACACACACTCACAGACTAATTCTACCTGAACACTAAAATATGCTCTAACAGTATATGTTTCAGACAGGCTTTGGACAAGATAGCCTACTTCTAAAAATTTGTCCTGAGGATAAGCATTTTTACCATAATGTTGCATATAATAGTGAAAACTTAGACAATAACCTAAATCTATTAACTAGAGATTCATGAAAAGAAAAATGGGGATTCTTATAACAAATGTGAACTACAGGTACAAAACAATTAAGCAAATTTTATTGACATTAATAAGTCAATGATATCAAGTGAAAATGCAAATTACAAAGTATTATTTTGACAATTTTTGCTGAAAGAATGAAATAAGGAGCATTAAAATATCATACATATGTATAAATATATATATATATCAAAGCACTTTTAGTTATTAGCTATCTTAAAGGTATATAGCAAAACATTTTAATTATTATCTCTTTCCTGTGGCGTAATTGTTAATTTTATTATTTTCTGAGTACCCTGAGTCACACACACACTTTATAATAAGAATTAAGTAATATAGCAATTTGAAATTGACTGTCAGCTGGAATCCCCCTTACCCCAGTGACTCTTTGACTCTCTGGGAAGTGCTCACTGACCTTGCTCCCGATGCTCTTAAATTTCCTGTATGTGGTACCTTCGCAATGTAGCTTCCTTCCTACATACCAGTCTCATCCAGGACGCCACGTGTATGTTTTTCATGCATCTTTGACTTCCCCCTATTTGGCTTGTACTGATGCTCTATGGAAGTGTGTTGAATGAAGAGTTGAGTAAACAAATGGGTCTCGTGGCTCCTACATGGTTCATTAAAAGGTTCTGCTAATGCAAACTTTCCAGACTTTGGAGGGTAGGGAGAAAGCCAAAGTAAAGACGATTCTTACCTGGCCCTTCATCATCAGACTATATTACATGAAGCCAGGTAGTCTGAAATCCCTTGAGGGGTTTCCTCTCACATACAACAAGGGCTCAATATTTCCTTGTTTAAAGAGAGAATAAAGGATTGAATGAATGACCATAAACAGGGCAGATTATAACAAGACTGATTTCATCCTATGCATAGAATTTAGCAATAGCTGATACTAAGCCCTGAGAATAGTCCTGAAGTCAACAAACAGATACAGGAGAAATTTGGAGATCCTATAGTGGTGATATATTGTGTACCCTAATAAACTTGCATGGGGATCAGAGGACAGAGCCAGCCACTAGATTAGACACAGAGGTCAGGCAGTGGTGGCACACACCCTTAACCCTATCACTCGGGAGGCAGAGATCTGTCTGGATCTCTGTAAGTTCAAGGCCACACTGGAGACAGACCCAGGCAGCGGTGGCACACACCTTTAATCCCAGGAAAAAAGTGGCATGGCTGGGCAGAGAAAGGTATAGAAGGCGTGAGGAAACAGGAACTAAAGCAGTTCAGCTGAGATCCTTCCGGGTCAAGACTCAGAGGCTTTCAGTCTGAGGAAGCAGGATCGGCTGAGGAGTTGGCGAGGTGAGGTTGCTCTGTTTCTCTGACTTTCACCCCAATATCTGGCTCTTGGGTTTTGGTTTTTTTTTTTTTTATTATAAGACCATTTAAGATTCGAACAATTCCTATAACCTGCCTTTTCCATTTCCCAAGTTGTATCCCAGTATGAGAAGTAATTTTTCCAGATTCAGGGAGGTTAGCACTGAAATCTGTGTTGGACCTGAGGGCTCCCATCACCTGCCTAGAATTGTTCCCTGGTGAGTAGCTTTCTCAGGACTGCAGCCTTAGGTTTCTGGTATATCCACATGCCCAAGTTTAATAGATGATGAGGCTGGGATATTTCCTATGTCAGTTACTTTTCTGTTGCTGTGGTAAGACATCATGACCAAGGCCTCTTATAGAAGAAAGAGTTTCTTGGCGCTTAAGGGTTTTAGAGGTGCATGAGTCCATGACCACCATGGCAGGGAGCATGACAGGGAGCATGGCAGCACGCAGGCATGCATGGCACTGGAGCTGTAGCCGAGAGCTTTCATCTTGGTCCACAAAAATGAGGCAGAGTGAGCTAACTTAGGATGGTGTGGGCTTTTGAAACCTCAAAGCCCTCTGCCAGTGACACACTTCCTCCAACAATGCTATACCTCCTGATCCTTCCCAAATAAGTCCTCCAACTTGGACCAAGTATTTAAATATATGAGCCTATAGGGGCCATTCCCATTCAAACAATCGCACATTCTATTCATCCGCTTGTCTTTTTCCCCCATATTCCATACATTCTGGATGCTGTTTGAACCCAACAGCTTCCTAGAGCAACCACCCTCTCTCAGAACCCCGTGTGTGTCTAGAGACCTGACTGCTCTGCGTATTGGCTCGCACGAGAACCGTGGTTTTTGTTCTACTGAATAAAAGCAAATCCTGCATCAGGCAAGAGATGCTTTCCCATTCTTGAATAATTGAAAGACTGGGTCCCAAGCCCCAGCAGGCTAGGAATTGATTAGAGATAGAGAAGCAGGGGGCTTCGGCCAGTGAGTTTAGGGAGCTCCGCTGGGAAACTTCATCTCTTGCTGTCTGTTCATAGAGCTCATATGGGAGAAAAACAGGTAGGACATTGCAAGGATGTGTTTATTTACTGTTCCAAGATAAATTTGTGTTTCTGCCAACAAATTAATCCATACGGTCAAAGCAATGAACTTATGTACCTTGCTTTTCATCTTCAGGCCTGAGCTAAATAATCAAGGGAATTTTAAAAGTGACTCAAACTAGTACCTTCACATTCTCTGTCTTTACTGCATTTATTTCATTTTATTTTTCATTAATTTCTTAGGTTTGCAAACAAAGTAATGGGTTTCATCATAACAGCCTCATGCATGCATTATTATAGCTTGTTTTCATTTGCTCCCCATCCCACTTTGCCCCGCCGCCCGGTGCTCCGTACCCTCATCTTCTTTCAGGTGGACAGGTGGTAAGAACAGAGCCATCCTGCAGCTTATAAATGAGAACTGAGCCAGGCTCCTTGCTCCTTGAAACCCACCAGGAGCAGACGCGATGGAGACCTCCTTTCCCTATGGAAACCAGGAGAAAGAGCAGGGAATTAGGCTCAGGATTTTACTGTTGCCTTCCAGGATTGCCTCCTCCAGACACCCCTCCCTGCTTTGCAGGCCCCAGCTGCTCCCAGTGTGCCAACTCTGAATACAACCATGTCACTTCCCTCATTTAAAACTCAATAGCATCCCATAACCCTTGGTTAGATGGAACTCTAAGACTTCCCCACTGGAGGGCATCTCTGAACCTCTCTGTTTTTTTTTTTTCCTCTACTGTGCTCACCTGGAATGACCACACCCCTCACCATTGGGAAAGCTAGAGGTCTTTGTGGCTGTAGACGCCTCTTGGAACAGCTCATTGGAGTGAGTTCCTCGATAAACCTAAAGCTCTGGTAGGAGGAATTTCCTTCAGGGAGTTCCTTCTTTCATCCCTGAGGAAGTAAAGACCCTATGATACACATTCCCTCTGCATCACCCTGGTGACATTTCCCATGATATTATGAGCTCCGTTATAGCAGGGTTATATGAACCAGAACCGATCATGACGTCTGGTTTAGATCAGGGCTGACTTCAATATTTACTACACTATCAAGTGAACAAATGGTTGTACATAACGCGTCAGAGAACTCAAATTCGGGGAGTGTTTATTTCATACCTGCTACATGCCTGGTATGGCTCAAGACACAGAAAACACACCAGGAAGGCGATGAGGAACACTGGGGAAAATGCAGCAAGTTAAAGGAAACGTAAGACGAAGAACGCCTTCACACTAAACACACCCATATACACACAGAGATGTACATAGATATGTGTATATATTTGACATACACTGAAGGGATGTTTTAGGGAGGGAAGAGATGTTTAATGGAAGTGCTGGCCACAGGAAGCCAGGACTAAATCTCATGCTAAGAGCCCCCCTGAAATTTATATTCTACCAAATTTCCTTTTCTTTTTTGCCCAAGTTCCTGAATGGTGTACACTTAATTAGCTTTCCATTCTAATGCCATTTTGGCTGGTTCTCATCTATGTGGGCCAGGTATCATTTTGTTCCCATCAACTTATTTCCTTCGGTTAAATTCCCAAATGGAAAATTATTTAATCAAAATGTACACTTTTCAGACTTCATGGTGGACTTCCATTGTGTTATCTCAAATAATTTTAGAAATTAAAAGGCCATTTCAGTGAAAATTTAGTGTACTACTTTTTTTTTTTTTTTAATGTCTTCAGCAGGACTGAAAGCATGTGCCATTTCATTTTGTTTTTACTGCCATTTTAGCAGACATGAAAAAAGTGTGTGAGCTGACGTTTCCGGTGGGGAGGGGAAAACTGCACCTATATTTAAGAGTCTACAAGGCTAGTTGACTAACAGAACTATGTGATTGTGGAGAATTGAAATGCTGTAAATCAAGAACTAATATTATGCAGAGTCTTTAGTCCTTGTATAGGCACTCGGCCCACCTCTATGTCTGACCTAACAATCTTTCAATTATCAGGTGAAACCTTTAGAATGTATTAATTAACAGACCACTCTCTTCTACCAACCCCAAGACTAAGAAGGTAATCAGATAATGTCCAAATCAATAAGAGAGCCCCTCTTCTTGTTTTGCTGTAGACCACCCACTTGATGTTCCCGCCAACATACTTGGGAAGTGCCTTGATTTATGGCTTTCTTTTGCTTAGAGACTATAAAAGTTCATGTAACCTCATCCATATAGGAATGCAGTATGGAAAACAACCTGATCCCAGGACCTCAGTCATGTCTGGCACAGGATCAGTCTTGTCTGATTCTCTTGAAGTAGCGTCTAGGTGTTGTAAGGATGGGTAGAGTACTCCAAGTTTACGTTCATTGATATTTCTCTGGCTCTCATTTTCTGTTTGTTTTGTTTTTTTTTTTTAATCTGAATTCAAAGCACCGCTCTTTAGCAAGGAGAAACTGTGGAGGCAGCTGCAGTCTTTACATTTTCAAATGGAGAGCAGAGGTTATATATGAGTCAAAGACAGCAAGGTGGATTTCAAGAAACCACAAGGAGAGATGGACTATGAGAGCTATGTCAGCTGTAATGTAGAAAGGATTGCAGTCAAGCCAAGCCTACCAGGTTGATATGTTGTGTAATGTAAATGTGAAATACTTAAGGAAAATAGGCAATATTCACAGGCACACAGGCCTAGGAAGGAAAGATGACTTGGTGTCCAAGAACTCAGAGAATATTAGTACTTTTCACAATGATTTTGATTTTGTTTCTGTTTTTTTAATGTTTATTTGCCTTTGCTGAGTAAATAGTTGGAATCTTGCATCCAGGATACTTGGTTATTCAGATTATTTCTGTATAGCAAAATAAATTATTAATCAAAGGCTGACTTCGCTTTTTCTTCCTTTTGTTGTGTGGGGATCAAATCTCACACAGGCTACTGAGTTTTATCCTCAGCCAATAAAGGCAATATAAGTTGGGAGTTTTATTTTAACTGATGCTATTGTATTTAGCTATTTAAATCATGTATCCAACTTTATGATGATTATCATTAGCATATAAGTTTTAAGTTCAATGTGGACTTTATTCCCGATATCTCCTGAGTTTCTTTCTTATGAGTACTGAGCATTTTAAGCAGTAAATTAAATTTACAGCTGTTCTGAGGTGCTCACCATAATTGGTATTTTCCTCATAGTTTGGCATAGTTTTACACTGGATATTGACTAAATATCATGTACTTTTGTTCCAATCCAATCATCCATGTTTCTATCCCTAGAAATTGACTTCCATATAGTATCAACATTTTTTTTCTTTTTTGAGCTGCACAGTTCTATGAATTTAACAAACAAGATGACATGGTATTCCAAGAAAGACCTAGAGAAAGTTTCAACCCTGTCATTCCCTGTACTTCCTCCTAGTTAGCCTCACCTGTCTTCAGCTTGTGGCAGCCACTGATATATTATTTGAGTGGTGGGTATGTGTGCGTATGAGTGTGTGTGTGTGTCTGTCTGTCTGTGTGTGTGTCTCTGTCTGTCTCTGTATCTGTACCTGTGTGTCTATGTATACGCTTTCCTTTCCAGGATATCATATAAGCAGAAATATTCACAATGCAGCCCTTTGAGTGTAATTTCTTTCACTTGTTAGAACTCACTTGCCTTGCACCCAGGGTGTGGTGTGTATCAATAATTTAATCCCTTTTAAGGCCAAACAGCATCCACTTACGTGACTATTGCACTACAGTTTGATTCTCCATTGACTATTTAAAAGTCCTTTTCAGTTGTTACAGTTCAGACCTATTGTGACTAAAGTATCTGCAAACACGTGTGAACAGATTTGTGTGTGACTAAGTTTTCATTTCTCCTGGAAAAACACAGGAAAGCACCACACTGCCTTTCAAAATGTCTGCCTAGACTGTGTTCCCAACAATACACAAGACTTCCTGTTGCCCTACACATACATTAGCACTTGTCTGCCATTATTATGGCCCAGCTGTTTGATGTGGATCTCCCATCCAAGTATTAACTAGGACCAGTTCCCAACAACAGAGATAGGGCAAGTTAAGAGTAGTATGGCCACAGACTTGATGTGGATGTCACTGTGGTTTGAATTTGCATTTTTTTCTAACTAATGAGGATGAACCAACTACGATGGCCTCATTTGCCATCAATATTTTTGATAAAGTATCTGTTCAAATATTTTTTCATGCTTAACTGGGCTGATTGCTTTTCTTACTTAGTTTTCAAAGTAATTTATGTATTCTGGATAGCAGTGCTTTATATTTGCCAATATTTTCTCCCGGGCTTGTATTTCCATTTTCTTAGTAGTAGATTTTTACAAAATGTAAGTTTTTTATTTATGAAGAATTCCAATTTACATTTTCATTTTATCAGCATGGGGACTTCCTCGTCTCTTCAATCCCAGTATCACCACAAGTGACTATTGACTCAGAATGGTTTGCCTATCACCCATGTCCACTGGCCCTGTCACCTACTTACCAAGAAGGAAACAGTATGAGGACATAGAAATACTGTCAGATTGAAAGTCATAATGTCTACACTCTTTGTCTCTTCTTGGCCTCAGGCTTCTTCATCAAACTCTTTAAGCTTTCATCTTTCCACCTCCACTTTACAATTAGACCTGCTCTGGGTTCCTGGCCTAGCATTTAACCAGCCTTCCCATTCCATACAATGGTCCATTTACAGTGGTAGAAAGCATTCCACTTGAGGGGATAAATTACTCTGATTGGAGAAATAGTTCAATGGCTGGTGAGTAGCTTATTCATCAGAGTCTAGGTGCCTTGACCATTTAAACTCTTAAATGGGCTGTAATCACTTGCTTATTTGGACTTATAGATTGTTATGTGTTATTTCTTTAGAAAAAGACAGAAATATAAATGCAAAGCCCTCTGGGCCCCAATTTCTTCTCTGCTGGAGGGGGCTTTCTGAGCCATTGCCGGATCCATTGTGAAAAATCGAATTTTTATTTCGTATGCCAAGCTCCTTTTTTTGTATTATTAATTTCAAAAATCACAAAGAAATGTTCTGATCATAAATTCTCTTGGCATAGATGATATAAAAACACAAAACATTAAAATGCCTTCTGGCTCTGTATGTGTCTGTGTTGAAAAATATTTGTTTTCCAAACCTCAGCCTCTCTCTTTTTTTTTTGGTCAATAACTGTATATAGTATTTGCTTTGTAGTTTGTTTCTCATGTTCATTTTGCTTAAGATAACATCCTACGCCTTTTTCATTCTTCTGACACCTTTCCCCCCCTTACTCATTGCATTATTTGCAAAGAAAAAAAAACTATTTCACCAAAACCCACATTAATCTTTCCCCGTGAAATAGTGTTGATAGGCTTTCACCACTACTCTTTTTTAAAAATAATCCCTGTAGTCCATCTAATGAAATCATATAAAAATGGACAAGAGGCAAAATTAACCAAAAATGAAACTCAGTACGGATGCTGAGAATGAGGCCACAGAGGTAATCGAATGAAGAAAGTCTTAGGAATTTTATAATTCTAGTACAAGGTGTGACTACCAGACACCA